ACACAGCCTAATTTTCATTTTTGGGTGAACTAACCCTTTAAGTAAAGCTTGCAACATGTCTGCGAGAAACTTACAGCTTATATATTATCCTCTCAAGCAGTTGCAGACGTAGTGTTTTGACTGAACCACTTCTGCTGTACGAGATGAGAACACATTATTATCTGGGTCATGAAAGAGTCTGCGTTTGTGATCGGTTTCCTTCTTTATTTACTGCAAAGCGTTGCTCTGTCTAGATGCGCTTAAATCTGCACTACCGATGCTTTACTGTCACGTATCACACATGCACACTTAAATAAGCCGACAGTGTTAACTCAGCGGTAGAGTTACTCTTACGGGACACTGCACTTATTCACACTCACAGAAGTACAGTATTTGCATGCACTTTAAAGCCTTGCCAGTTAAATCTTTCATTCGCGTGCTGTTCTGGCGTGCACTTTTTCTGAGCGCATACACTCGAAGCTTGCGCACTAAAAATCCTGTCAAACAGCGCCTGATTACTGAACTAAGTTATCTTTTGCGCTAATACTGTCAAAACACACAAGGTTTACATATGAACACAGTTGGTTATGTCTAAAATGAAAGTAAACAGTTGAGAGAATAACGGATACATGCCTGTATCGTAGATGCGTGCAGGTCTTAAAGGGACAGTACTAAACATGCTGCCGACTGTCATTAAAGGGATAGTCCACCCCAAAATGTAATTTCTGTCATTATTTAGCCATTCACATGTTGTCCCAAACCTAGTATTAATTTCTTTCTTGTGCTGAACACAAAATAAGATATTTTGAAGAATGTGGGTAACCAAACAGTTGCTGGTCCACATTGAATTTGATAGTTTGAAAAAATACTATGGAAGTCGCTGTCGACCAGCAACTGTTTGGTTTTCCACGTTCCTCAAAAAAAGTTCTTCATTGTGAGGTAAACACACAAAGTTTGTGCTTTCTAATACAATATTGACTGTTTTTGCTCAAGTTCACTGACAAAGTGGGGGGGATGCCCCCAGACCCATCTACAAGGGTCATATTCCAAACTATGTCACTTTTTTGACCTCTTGTGAGTTTGTAGGCATGATAAAATGATAGTTAAATAAATAATAGTTTTTATCTTCGCCCACTTTGGCCTAATATATCCGCCATTCTTTTTTATATCTTGTTACCTTAAAATTCTTTGTCTTTATAATAGGGAAATTAGTTTGGCTGTAATGCTCAGACAACTTGCAAAATAGTAAAACCAACATGACAAATAATTGTGATAAAATCGTGAATCATGATATTTCTAAAGAAAAAGTCGTGATATGATATTTTTGCCATATCGCCCACCCCTAGTACCGCCCCAGTGACAGGTTTTGTACCTTCTTTTCCTGCGAGTTTTACTGTGTAAGAGACCCTTTAAGCAACTTCATGATGTTGAAGTAAGTAGTAATCGGGTTTTATTGCATCTGGTTCATTTGAAACCCCATTATGAATGCGGTTTTATAGATTTGAGAATTAGTAACTACAGGGGCAAATACATTTTCACACTGGCCCAGTTGGTATTATATTGGTATTAGAACTTTTTTGCTTTAATAAATAACATTTATCATTTAAAAACTGTGTATTTTGTGATTACTCAGCTTGCCTTTCTTTTATGTTAGATTTTGTTTTCGTTTCTGAGATAAACACAAAAACAGAAGAAATCAGAATGGGGGCACAGTGCTGTATTAATGATAAATATTTGCTGCTTTTCCTGATTTGCCTCTTATGTTAAAAAATTTAGCAGCACCACAGGCATGTGGAACCAGGTGTTTGTCCAGCCGTCACCAGAGGAGGAAGTTCACGTTGGTGAAGACCAAGACCCACGGGTAAGAGCATTCGGCTTCAGTGTGAATCCTTGAAGCTGCTGAGTCAAAACTTCTGTGCCATTTTGAGTTGCCTTAAACACTGTTGTCTTTTAACAGGAAATATATCTGGATGTACTTTTTTCACCTCTACGTTTCACAGCCTCAGCCATCATTAAAGCTTTACAGGTAAAAATCTCAATGTACTTTAATTCACTCTTAAAGGGTTAGTTCACCCAAAAATTAAAATTAGCCCATGATTTACTCACCCTCAAGGCATCCTAGGTGTATATGACTGTCTTCTTTCAGACGAATACAATCGGAGTTATATTTAAAAATGTCCTTGCTCTTCCAAGCTTTACATTGGCAGTGGGTGGATGTTTTTGTTCAACAGTCCAAAAGAGGTGCAATAAAGCGCATCCATCCATGATAAACAGTGCTCCACACAGATTGGGGGGGTGAATAAAGGCCTCCTGTAGCGAATCGATATGCTAGTCTAATGAGAACCAACGTTTGTTTCAAGGAGCAAAGAAAGCAATGTTTCCTTACTTTAGCAAAAGAAAACCTGTCTCCTCTTGGCTTATCGAAATCCTCCGACATTTTTCTTTACAAATCCTCGTTTTGTGCTTCTAATTCGTGACCGCTGTTTTGTTTTGCTCCCTCCTCTGCGCTTCCGCGTTCATCACTAATCACCGGCGCGTGTGCTACACCTGTGTCAATGTCATCCGCTGGAAAAATAAAGCATATGTGTGTGTGTGTGTGTATACAGGTGCATCTCAAAAAATTTGAATATCGTGGAAAGTTTTTTTTTTTCTTTGTAACTTATTTCAAAAAGTTAAACTTTCATATATTCTAGATTCATTACATGTAAAGTAAAACATTTCAAAAGTTCTTTTTGTTTTAATTTTGATGATTCGAGCGTACAGCTCTATATATGTATATGTATGTATGTATGTATGTATGTATGTATG